GCTCATGTAATACCTAGCGAGCCCGCGATCGAGGCTTCTTCAATAACGTTCAGGGCAGAGGCCAACCCCTGGTTTCGACTACTCAGGACAGAAATCCATTCATCGGACGGGAAGAGTTCCTGATGAACCGTATCGTCCAGCGTCAGGGCGCGGCTCCGCCCTGGGTAGAGATACAAGGAGGTGTGTCTGTACTAAAGCGTGTTCGTCTTTTCGTTGGGTTTTTTTCTAATGCTGTCATTGCAGAGCTTGAGAATGCAATAGCAAACTTTCGAGATATCATCAAACAGTCGTGGACGAGACGAGCGATACGACTGTTGACGGCGGCCCAGCCTGCATCGCAGCTACCCCGGCTTACGCTCGCTGAGATCAGTGCTCTGCGAGATGCGGAATGGGAAGCACGGGAATGGGCGTTTCACGACCATGCGTTGGACGAAGTGAACGCAGTTGTCAGGAAGTACAACGGGGTAGCGCCTTACGCGGTACGCCGAGCGTACTACATGCGCGACACGGAGTTGGAGAAGGCATACCGTGATGCCGCTGAAGACATCCTGCGAGGACTAGCGGAGAGGGCTGCAAGTGCCTCCAATCGGAATGGACACGTTGATGCTAGCTTCGATGACAATGACACGCCGGCGGTGTCTACTTCCGTCGCACCTCTCGCTCCGTTAACTTTCCGCCAGATGCTCACAGATCTGTGGACCACACTGCGCGGGAGGTGAGTGTTGTGGGCCGTATCCTTGAGGTGTTCGCACCTTAGTCTAGAGACCCCGCTGTACAGCATTTATGTTTGCTTCCGTTGTAGCGATAATTAGAGGATCCGCAGGTTACTGTAGACGTATAGATTGTGATACACGCAGCTGACTTGCACATCACTGGGAGCTTCTGTGTGTCAGTGCCATGCGCAAGCCGCGTGGAGGCACTGAGGGAGCGATGTACTCGAGTCTCGGGCTCTTACACTCTCTGCTTCCATCTCCCATGCTGTTCAACCCTTACCTGACTCTGGCCGCCTGTTCGCCTTGATGCCTTGTGGACATGGTGCGCACTCTGACGCGGGTGCGTCACCTGGGGTAGCGACGCCGCGATGATAGGTCAGCGGCGTGCCTTATGCGATGCCCAACGGACGCAAAACAATGTCTATTTGGCTACCACATACAAGGCGGGGGACAATAGGCAAACTTGTTTGTGCTCCGTTCGGGAAAACATGATTTGTGCAAGCGATACACCGGAAAAAGGAAATGAGGCCCTCGGCCTGATATCTGCTCTTCGCAGAATTCAGGGCGGCGATTGGCGGAGGGCCTCATGGCTGCCTCGCGCCGTCCATGGAATGCTCCCACCGGCAATGTCCTCATCTAATCTATAAAAGCTCCATTTTCGCGCAATTTCTCCCCCATCGCCGCCTCTCTCTCCGACGCCTTCGACAGCCTCCGCCTCGTCGTGCTCCATCCTCCGTAAGTACTCTCTTCAAGATGTCTTCCGACGAGATTGTCGTAAGTCTGCCCTCGTGCTCGTGGCTGTTGTGTCATTGAGCTGAACGTGCTCTGTGTCCACAGCCAGGCGACATTGTCGCTGTCAACCATGCTGGTATCAGGAGAGAGGGCCTAGTTGTTGGCAGCGCCATCGACTACGCGGTCAGTCTTCATACTCCTTTGGCATGGCCTTTGCACTGATCCTCCACATCATAGGGTCGCCAAATGATTGAAGTACAGCTCGATCCCACCGAGCCTACCTTCCAGGCCTGGTGGGTACCATACAAGCCTTGCCCGTGAGCCTATCCTGATTCTTGCGCTCAGGTATCCTACCGTCACACGCGTCAAGCGCACCATCTCCTACACACGCCCAACACTCCCTCAGAGGCGTAGCGTCGAGCGATACATCTACTGGTGATTTCCCACCTCCCACCCACCCGCGGAGGTTGGGCTTCACAGCTACACATCCTACCTTTTTTCTGCACTGCGCCTTAGCTGCATGACTGCGGCCGCTTGACCGCTGTGCTGGTCGTTTCTTCTTTGAATGAATGACGCACGACCACCGCTGGCGCACAAGATGTTGGATGCTCTGTATGTATCTATACGTGTCACATTGGATTGGACAGATGGATTCGCTGCTCGCCGCACCCTATTATATATCGGAGGTCATGATGGATACACAGCCATGTACTTGAAGCTTGCGCCAATGGCTACTATCATTATATTCCTAGTGGGAACGAACGTCCGGCTGAGTGGTGATTGATAGTACAAGACAGAACGCGAGAATCATGCATATGCAACTGAGCGGATCGAGCGATATATAGGCGCGAGCGACAGGTGTGAGTTGGGGCTAGTGATACAGGATTACGATGCGGTAGGTTATGTTATGCGCGAAGGTCGACTGCTATGGGTGGCAAGGGCTGGGGCTCCGTCGGGAACGAGACGGACTGTGATGCTGCTTGCGCGCGGTGGTGAGCCGCCGGTCTAGAAGAGGTGGACGAGGTCGGATATGCGGTCTGCTCGAGTGGTGATAGAGGGCGCACCCGGGCTGCCCGCTCCGCCCCCAATGTCACACCGCCATTGACGTGCGGGCCCGAAGGCGCGTTGACCTTGCTTGAAGACACGGTGTGACCATTCGGCAATGCTGTTGAGCTTGACGCTAGTGACTGTGTCCCGGGACGTGGAACAGGATCGCGGTCAGGAGGGGACATGGATGAGCTCCTTGACGACGGCTGTGCCGATACCCTGTGAATGACCCTAGGACCACTGACTTTGGTTGGAATTGGCTTGACGATCTGAACATCCTGCGTCGCACTGCCATTGACCAAAGAGGCGTACGAGCCATTCACATGCACGCCCTCCGGTCGAACGGTCTCCTCCGAGCTCCGCGGCGAGGTCGACATGTAGATGCTCTGCCGGGGCATCACCACCCGCTCGTAGAAGATCATGAATGCGCCCACGCTTTCCTGCATCACGGCCTCGAGGCTACACTCCCATACGGTGTTGTCGCTGCAGCGCAACCAGCCGCGCCGTGGCCTGGGTGGCTCCGCGTCATCGTCTCGCACAGGGCCGATCCGTTCACATTGCTCGCAGTCACATCCGAGCGGACAGGCTAGCTTGGGCGGATCGAATCGACGAGGGCCTGCAGAAGGCGGTCGAGGTTTCCGCCGATAGCATATATAGTGGCCGAATGAGTGCTGCCCATGGTGGCAGACAACGGCGGATAGGCGGTAGAGTACACGCGGGGTAGCATACACCGCAGGGGTGGGCGTGGTGCTACGAGGAATTGAAGGAGGCGGAGTGGAGATGGGAACAGAGGGGCTGGTCGATAGTTGGCCGGACGTCGTGTAGGGTGTCAAGTCGAGTATCTCGGGGAAAATCACCCGACATGTGTTCTTGGAGGCGTAGTGGCCAAAATGCACCGACCGGTTTAGATGAAGTGCAAGCACGCGAGGTGGCTGCCATACTAACACGTCAAACATGGCTTGACGTATTGTAGACATAGTACGCACCCGAGCGATCATTGCTTGCTTCGTGGAAGCCCTGCTGAATACTTTCTCCATCCTTACACCCTTGATGTCCTCCTCGATCCGGCCATCATCCAGCGCTACCTTCACGCGAGCAGCCAGCTTCCTTGCCTCACGTGCGCGTTTCTTCTTCGACGCGGATGGGTCCTGATCCCCGTGCGCAAGCTCGGTGAGCTTCTCGGCCTCGGCCTCCAGGCGGCGGTAGGTCGCGAGCATCGAGCACTTCCGGCAGATGCAATCTGTGAGAACCTCCAACCGAGTGTAGTCGGCCAAGCAGTCTTCCAGCCGACACTGTGCCTAATGAGATCATCAGACGGCACGCACCAACGAATGTCACGGACTAACACATACCGCTCGAGGCAGGTTCAGTTGCCAGTTGTCAAACGCGAAGTGCATGACGGCTTCCGTGTATCCACACTCCATACAGCTGCGTCGGTTGGCAGTCAAGCCATCGAACACGCTCGATCCGAGGGTACTGTTTGCGGGGCCTTGTGCCTCGGCGAGCGCACCCAGACCACGATCCCGATGCCCTTCCTTCTCTACCGCAGCGGCTTCGTTTTTGATGCATTCGCTGAGAAGCTGGAAGAGTTCTTGTGCATCTTGGTGCTCGCGTGAAGAGAAGAGGGTATTGTGCTTAGACGGGGAGTTCCTTGACAGTGCATCGATGATATCAACAGGCCGGTACGCTTGTGGACCGTAGGTGGGCAGGTTGAGGGCTACGCAATTTGCTAAGCAAGACACAGTACCAATGGCAATCGCACACATACCTAACAGCAGATTTCGCAGTGCATCTATGACTGGAGTTGGTACATCCAACGCCTCAGCCTTTGCATGGGTTTGGTGCACCTGGGGCTGCAGATAACAAAGAGACGCCATTGCCTGGGTGGCTGAAAGTGAACAACAGAACAGCAGCTTCATGGGTAACGCGCGTACCTGCAAGGTCGCATTCATGAAACAGTACGTGCCAGAGATATTCACAAGTCCCGGGTAGTAGTCTCCGGTAAGCTCCCCCTTGCGCGATGGTTCTATCGCAAGGCTTCGTTGAGTTGCGTGGTGCTGAGGCAGAGAGTCCAACTCACCAAGCTGGAATTCCTTCACCTGCTCCGCCCTGGTGCGTATGAGTTTCTTCCTTGACTTGCGTTTCTCATGAGCCACATTCGACCCAGTTGCATTGTCGAACCAGTTCCATGGTAGTGCAGCTGAGAACGCCCCGAATACCATGTAAGTGGTTGATAGTATCGAGCCTTTGCGAGAATTGAGAGTGAAGACCAGCAGTGGGATTAGTAAGACGACAAAGAGTGGAAATAGCTGTTGGAAGGTTGGGCTGGACACAAGTCGGAGGAGGAGGAAGCGGAAGTCTTCCAGGGGCTGCATATGCGCAAGATCCTTATGCCTTGCGCGGCGACATGAGCGAGTTGGTAAACGAGTGCACTCCCCGGCTTACAGCGATCCAGTGCCCGTCCTCGCTTGGACGGAATGTATATTTGCTTACTCACACAATGCATATGGCTACCTGGCGCAATGGTAGCGCGTTTGGCTTCGATCGCCGACGGCACCAAAAGGTTGCAGGTTCGAGTCCTGCGGTGGTCATTCCATTTTTCTCCGCGCCATATACAGTCATAGACGCCCCAGTGTCACACCCAAAAGTTCTTTCGCCTGTCACAAGAGTTTCGGAGCACCCACAGCACCCATACTGAACCAAAACATTCTTTAGTATACAGAGTACCTACAGAAACAATCTGAGGCTGATCCCATTGCACAATGCATCATATTGGGAGATCATAGACATGGGGGGTACGTTGGCCAATGACTCGGCTACTCAGTGTAACAGGTAACATATAAAGGACTAGACTGGAGGCAGATCACCCTTTCTCTGCTATGTTTTCTATCCTAGTTGAAAATTAGTTAAACAGCACTGATTCCAGAAAGATGTGGAGCACAGGGGGATCCCATTAGGTAGCAATCGTAGTCGTAGTCGTAGTGCTCGTCGCCTTTCGATCGGGACAAGCGCCCATAGTCTCGCGCCACAGCTGTCACATTCCTACACCGAAACACGCATAGAACGGCGAGTTCACCACCGTTTGACCTTAATGAGTGCTCTACTAAATCTATGTATAGCTGCTCATATAAAAGAAGTCAGTTTGGATGTCTCCCTTGACTCATTGGCACTCAGGAAATTGCCCAATATTTCTTAGGGTCTGTGACACAGTATTTTCACCACATTTATTTCTCCACATGTACTCACTTTATCCCTGCGCTACTGGTCTTGAAAGAATCTCTATCCATTCTTGAATCTAAAAACAATCTGGGGCAACTCGGATAGGAGGGGCGAGCGTGAACAGCATAGTGTTACACTGGGTGATGGTGTTACAGTGACCCGTGTAGGCGTACACGTGACCGTTCCCTCGAAGAACGCGTCGCGTCGCGAGCTAGATTGATCGACGACCGTGAACCTGTGAACCCAACCACCACCACCGCCATCACCCTCCGCCACACTATCAGCAACGCATGCTATTGTTTTCTTGGGAACAACTCAGCTAGCTGTCGTCCATGGCCACTGCCACTTTCTTGTCCCAGCACTCCTCCAACCCGTTGGAGGTCCCGTCGTCTGATGCTCGTAACAAGGCCTATAGGCGCGAGCTTGTGCGGACCACAAGGCGGCAGAAGGACGAACTTGGCTATATCCCCTCGTCTGAAGGCCCGTTTACTGGTGCCGATACTCCGGACCTGGAAGAATACCATTCACATCTCGCCCAGCTATACCCGAACGCGAGGCTACCCTTTGCTGAAGCGAAGCCCAGAGTGTCTCCCGAACAATCGGCGTTCAGGGACATGTACAGCGAGGACGACTTAATTGTTCTTCCTGCAGATGATCCCGATGACCAACAGGAGGAAGAGGAGAGCGAAAGTGACGAAGACGACGCAGACGAACTTGAGGTGCTTGAGCCGGGGGACGACCTCGAGGATGGGCTCGGAGACGAGGACGCGGAGGGCGAGATCGACGATGACCTAGATGACGAGCCGGAAGGCCACCTAGATACAGACGAGGAGCTCACCCTCTACCTCAAACCACGAGAGGAACGGGAAGAGATAGAGGAGGAAATCGCCGACCTTGAGGCTACTGTCCCACAACTTACTCCAGACTACAAGATTGTCGACCGACTGGGCACCGGCACGTTCTCCTCCGTTTACAAGGCCATTGATCTGGAGTATCATGACAGGTGGGATAACACACCATGGCAGGGCTACCATCCGTCCTCGTCGTCCGCATCCTACATGTCGGAACATCGGCCCTCGGGAGGCAAGGTCTTCGTTGCCGTCAAGCGCATATATGTCACCAGTGGGCCCGAGAGGATACGCAACGAGATCTCTATTATGGAGGACTGCCGGGGTTGTCGTCACGTCTCGCAGCTGATCACCGCGTTTCGACAACATGACCAGGTCGTCGCGATCATGCCCTACCACCGGAATATCGACTTTAGAGTGAGTATGCTTCGGGCTATTGAGATGGACGGCAGTACGTCTGATCATGATCTTTCATCCTGCTAGGAATACTATCGCGCGCTGCCTATGGAGGGCATCAAATCGTATTTTCGATGCATGTTCCGAGCATTGCGCGACGTTCACGCGCGAGGAGTCATCCATCGTGACGTGAAACCGGCAAACTTCCTCTTCGACCCTCGTACCGGCATCGGCACTCTTTGCGATTTCGGGCTTGCCTGTGTGAGTGGCTCCATCCGTCATTGTACTTTGGCACACAGGTTCAGCGAGAACACTCTGGACTGCTGGTGCTGACAGTTGGTCCTCAATAGCGAGTGGAACGCGGACCCACGCTTGGTGCCTGTCTCCATACTGCAGCGACGCGTGACTACCCACATGGCCGAGTTCGGCCCCGCGGGGACTTCGACGTGGACCATGTCAAGCGCATGCAGAAGGAGGGTCGCGTAAGGAGCTCTCTGCCCTCGGAACGCGTTGGGTATCCAGAGAAGGATACAAGGTATGTTATTGGTCGTGTTCAAGCAATTGATACTAATGCTGTCTTTCTCTCAAGGCCGCCGTCCAAGGCGAACCGAGCTGGTACGAGAGGCTTCCGCGCGCCGGAGGTGCTCCTCAAGTGTGGCGAGCAAACAGGAGGTCAGCCTTCGCTGTGCTTCTGGCCTACCTGAGCTCACGCTTCCTTACCATGCGGCTTACTATCCGGACGTCCCTTCGCACAGCCATCGATGTCTGGTCAGCGGGGATGATCCTGCTCTTCTTCCTCACAAGGAAGTTTCCGCTATTCCACTCAAGCGATGACATGGAGGCTCTCATGGAGGTCGCCACCATCATCGGGAAGAAGCGGATGGAGAAGACCGCCACGCTACACAGTAAGGCACCTTCCCGACTCCCGAGGCGCAGATGAACTGACGCCGTTCCTAGGCCGCGTCTTCCAGACGAACGTCCCCACAGTGACGGCTGAGGGCATCACTTGGCGTGAGTTCGTCGAGCGGCAGAACCCCGACATCCGGACGCCCCCGGAGCCGGATCCGCGTTTCTACCCTCACGCCAGCTCCTCCCGAAGCCACGCAGGCCCTCCACCCTCATCTTCGTCGCCCTCGCGGTACTCTCCTTCGCGATCATCGCCTCCTCCACAGCTAGCGACCGTCGACGCAGAGGCATACGCTGCTGACGTCGATAAGGCTCTCGACTTCGTGGAGCGGGTCATGCATCCGGAATCAACACAGCGCATGAACCCAAGACAAGCCCTCGCACATCCCTTCCTGCATGACCCTGACGAACCCGACGACGACGAGTTCTTTCCACATCCGTTCGGAGAAGGGGTCTGCGGTGCTCTACACTTCTATGATGACGAGATGGATGAGTTTTGTGTTCGTGTTCGGCTCCCTGGAAAGGACCAGTTGGTAGTGAAGAGGATCCTAGCCGGCGAAGGTACAGCGATAGGACGTCAGCCTTGTGAGTTTCACAGAGAGGAGGACGGATATATATTCTCTCCATAGTATTGTAGCATAATAGTATACCTGCGCACGCTCGATGCCGCGTGCAAGTCTGCGGCCTCTTAGATCCAGGATGCGATGGAGCATCAGGGTCTTATGCAAGCATATAGCTTACCTACGGCTCACACCTCCGTATCATGCTCGTATAACCGACTCGAATGCACGTTAGACGCAAGACTCGTAACAAAAACAATGAAACTGTCCGAGGAATTTGAAGACAAATCGTACCAAAACATTAACATGACCACCGCAGGACTCGAACCTGCAACCTTTTGGTAACGTCGGCGATCGAAGCCAAACGCGCTACCATTGCGCCAGGTAGCCATATCAGTGTCAGGTCAAGACCGCCAATCGTACATCCCGCCATGCTTGACTTTGACCTCTCGCTCTGCCTCATACTGTAATAATGCGGAATTTGATCGACTCCCGGCTGCTACTGGCATGTTCATCGCGAAGCCTTTCCAGGCTCAGGCCCCATCGGTGTTATGAAGACGCAAGAGCAGAAATCAGAACGAGGTGGCCGGCAGGCTTCGTCCGAGTCGTCCCGAAAACGACCCGGGCCGCCCAGGCGTACTTAGGTCGCACTTACACTGATTGAACGCCGAAACGAACACGAAGATACGAATGTGCACAATATGTCAACCGTAAACCGCATGCAATCATGAGGTTCCCGAGAGCGCGGCTCATCCCAGGGCACGAGCCAGTGGTTGTAGAAAGTTTGGTCCTCATAATCCTCAGCATGGTGGGATACCACTCATATATCGATACTGTGCTTCCGACTCCTTGCCCTCGATTGGTAAACCTCGCGCTCTCTTTTTGTGGATTGCTGCGCCTGGAGGTGGCAATCGATCAATCGCCTCTAGGGTACCCGCTGTGTCTAGTGTCGACGTCGGTACTCGGCTGGTAGACGTTAGCGAGTTTATCACGCTTCTTACCGAGGCCGGCTTTAAGTAACATGAGCTTGAGGCGTGTCGACATGATTTCACCCCGGTCCCGTCCGAGGCATCCTTGTTAGCGGTAGTGAATACCTGAGCTTCCGGTCTCAGAGCTCACCGCAGATCTGGACACGCGCCCCGTACTGTTGGCAATTCCCTGCTATTATGGTCTATGGGAATGTAGGAGAAGCAGCGTCGGAACGACAGAACGTGCGGGTTTCAGCCACCCTTTCGTGCTGCCCATGAAGCTCCAGGTGTGAATGCGGGCAGGAATATGATGCTACCACACTGTCGTCGTACCTGATATGCCGGCAGACATGCCAGAAGGGGCGTCATTTCAGAGATCCTTTTGCGCCATCGCAAATGCCCTGGCTGTGGTGTGAAACTGCACCGGTGAAGGTTGCTTTCCATCTGATTGCGCGTAGCTCGCCTGAGCTATACACTTTCCCCATTGCCTGAGGCTTTGAAGCACATTGAGCCTACACAGTATACGAGTGGTCGGAACCGACGCTACCACTTACCCTGTTCAGGCTGTTGATTGTGTCTTGAACAAACCTTGGGTTGGACGAGGATTGACTTGATAGCGCAAGCTATGCAGCGCCGCGTGATTACCGAAGCTGCCAATGGACTTTCTTCTGTGCCGCAATGTGGGAAGCCATCG